GTGCTGTGTCTGTCATTAAAAAAATTTTAATAGCTTTTCAGATACTAACAGAACTTAAACATTCTCACACCTAACATGTCTTTACCAAATTTGCTACCACACACCTTTTAAAGCAACCAAGGTTTAAAAAAAAAAAAGAAAGAACAAAACACACTTAACCGCTTCACTGCTGCTCGGAGTGAGGTATCGGTCCATAAATTGGGTCCTCCTATGCGCCGTAGACGCAGTGTACTCCCGGCAAAATCACTTTTTTGTTTCGTTTCTCACTCAGCCGGCAATTAAAATTTAGTATCGAGAGTGGGCTCCCCTGGGGGCTCTTTCATTTCAAGGTTAAAGAAGCTTTAGTTTGCCCTAATTAGGCTAACAATGACCGAAATAGCCTGAATTATAGCATCACTCCTTCGTCACCGTTTTAGTGTCTCACTCTAGCTCCGAGCTATGGAAGATCGCTCGCGATGTATGCTCATAACGCATCAAACTATCGACAAAATTTTTGCTGATGATGATAGCGGTTCATTCATTTTCCTTTAAAATGATATAGACATTGTTATGCATTTGATACATTACCACAGAAAATAATAGCACTTTAAAATGATCAGCCGTTTCAATTGCTATTCCTGGAAACAAGGTCAAGCATAGGGTGGGGAACATAGGTCAGCAGTGAAGGGGTTAAGATGAAACCATTGGAAAATACAACAGGCAGCTGTAAAACCATTTTTCTCACCAGCCACTTCATCAAGAGTGAGAGCCTTGGCGTGTGCAGTGGCCACATCTCTCACATCCACCACAGAGTAGCAGACACGGGGACAGCCAGTGATGCCTCGGTCCAACAGGGTACGAACGATCTGACACAAAGAGGGGGAAAAAAACTTGCGATTTTAACAGTTCTAAGGCCACATCGTTATATCAGAGCTTGTTTAGTTTCAGTAAGTTTTACGGCACTTGCAACACAATAAGATCATAAAAGTGCCGAAAATTAGAGGTGTTACAAGAGAGTAACAAACACAAAAAAGAAGGAGGGAGCTAGAGGCGATAGGTTTTTTATAGGAAAGAAGGAGCAAACCTCACGAGAGCACCCGCCAACCACCCACTTACATCAGATCTACCAACCACCACTCCATGACCAAAACAAAGGTGTTTTCCTGGGAATTCTCCATGATAATTGGGAGTCTATGAGAAAGAAATCAGAGTCTCCAGAACTCCAGTAGATATAGATTTACATTATGACCAACCGACTATGGCAAATAACGTGTATTGCAAAATGTAACAAAGCAGAAAAAAATATTTGAGTTCGCTTTAACTGACATCTGCGGGACCACCAGATTTTCTTTGATTTAGCCAAGGGACTTCAGTCTAGAGAGCTTTACAAAGAAAGTTCTGAGGTTGCTCAAATCAAGGAAGAAAAAAAACGATATTATTTTATTCCAGTTCACCACTGTTTTTTAATTAGTATTTCACTGTATGTTCAATATCAAAACAGACTACTAGAAAAAATGGGAACTTTAGAAAACTAGTTCTTACATCATGCTGGGCATCAATCAATGGGGGTCCCAGGGGCATTGTGGGGTTCATCACACACAATTCAATCTTGTCTGCATCTGTGGGGGGTAGATGAGGAGAAAGTAGAAATACATAGTAAAGTAATGGGTCAATATGTTATACTTATGCTACACATCAGCATCTGTTAATATCACTGCAAAGCCCCCCCCCCTCCCCTTCAGAACTAAAAGATTTGCAGGTTAAAAAAGGTTTTGATCTCCAAGATATAAAATAAGACTGCATTGATAAACAGACTTGATATGCAGAATATTCCACAATTCTGACAACTTTTACCTTCTACAAATCATCTTTTTAAAGTCAAAGGGCATAACCACAACACTAGAGATGTCAGTTCTCTACCTGTAAGCAAAGACCGTAACTACTGGATCAAAGAGGTCAATTCTCTACCTGTAAGCAAAGACCGTAACTACTGGATCAAAGAGGTCAATTCTCTACCTGTAAGCAAAGACCGTAACCGCTAGACCACAAAGGTCAGATCTCTGCCAGTGGGCAAGACCGTATCTACTACAAGACAGAAGTCAGTTTATGACCATTACTTAATTTATTGTCCCCACCATCGAAGGGCTAGGGGTGGACAATGGAACAATGTGGACTAATTACACCAAGGCATGGATTAGCTTAGTGTATGTCAGCAGCTAGTGACCATAAGCAATGGCAGGTCATTTAAGGTCAAATTCTGAGCAAGCAATGACAGTTGTGGGTACCAGTCCCCACCACTACAGCACAGACTATGCTACCCTAAAATTACAAAGTTTTATCTGCTCAGTACCTGGTTTTGAGAAATTTCACGTTTAAAATTTTGAGTTTTTATAGAAAGGTATTATACTTTTGCTAGACACAATATCTGTCCGTATCTTAATACAAGTCCCCACCACAACAGCACAAACACTATGCTATCCTAGAATCAAGTCTTTTTTTTTTCAACATGTCAAGCTTTTTCAAATGCAATTCTTTGAATATCTCGATAACGACTCTGGATAATCTTACCGTATTAACAGAGAAGACAGAATATTTTGTTTCTGACCTCGTGGTCTTAGTAACTCAAAACGGCCGAAAATCTCAGATAGTACTTTGTGATTCTAAGGTAGCAACTAGTGTTTCACCCACCTGTGAGCTCTTTGACAAAGTCCCACGCGGCCTTCTCTGCCAGGATGACTGACTTGATAAGAGGTTCAGCTGTCTCTGCGTCAGCCCAGTCGGCCTCTGTGTGAACCTTGTCATTGGGGGCTGCCGGAGCACCTGGGACAGGGAGGAGGGGAGAGAGAGGATCAACAGGAATTAGTGGTAAGGACATATATGACATTTAAAAAGACCTGCTGCACAATGGCAGCGAGAACAAATCATTGACTTCTCTAAGCTGCCATGAAAAGCACAAAAAGCTTGTTACAAAAAGCCCCAACACTTCACAATATACAAAAATTTCTGCAGCTTACACAAGGATCTCCTTTCATTATTAATAGCAGCCCATTCAATGCACAACAATCCTTCCAAATATAGTACCTGCAATATACCAACAAGAATATTCTCACCAAGGAACAAGTACACAAACTGCTAATCACTATGGCTGCTGATTAAACTTTCTAGAAGAAGAATCAAACTTGCAGGTAAAAACTTAGACCAAGGTTTTTCCCCATTGGCACATAACTAATGTCCTCCTGCGTCTGATCTTGGCCCAGATCATAACCACAGACTTAGGTTTTAGTAAGGTTTTATGGCGCTCGCAACTGCATAAGGTCATATGGGCGCCTTGCAAAGGGGTGGATGGGATGTCAACAAAGAAGT